GCTAAGAAGTATGGTCCGTGCTCAGTTCCATGCAAGATTTGAGTCTGGAACCTCCCATTCCCATTCCCAAGCAACACACTAAGAGTGTTATCTGCATAGTTGCCTACTGCTAGATCCAATATGTTATCATTATTGAAATCATCTGATACTATAGAGCGTGGATTGGGACCAACCATATAGTACATTGAAGTCTGAAAGGTCCCATCTCCATTACCCAGCAAAACACTAATAGTATTGTTGCGATAGTTGGTCGTTACCAGATCGAGTTTTCCATCATTATTGAAATCACCTGATGTCATAGAGGATGGCGATTGACCAACTGTATAGTACATTGAACTGTGAAAGGTTCCATTCCTATAGCCGAGCAGCACACTTACAGTGTTCTGGCCGTAGTTACCTGCTGCCAGATCTAGTATCATATCATTATTGAAATCACCTGATACTATAGAGCGTGGATTAGAACCAATCGTATAGTCTACTGAGGTATGGAAAATTTCATTCCCATTGCTCAACAGCACACTGATGCTGTGACCGTCGTAGTTAGCCACTGCCAGATCTAAAATATTATCCTTATTGAAATCACCTGATACTACAGCACGTGGGGAGTGACCAACCATGTAGGTCATTGTAATATGAAACTTTTTATTTCCGTCGCTAAGGAGTACATTGGCAGTATTCTCGCCATAGTTAGTCACTGCCAGATCCAATTCATTATCATTATTGAAATCACCTGATATCACTGAAGATGGTGATCGACCAACCGAATAGGCCATCATAGTCTGAAAGGTTCCATTCGCATTACCAAAAAGTACACCAACGGTGTTACTCCCATAGTTAGCTAATGCAAGATCTAGTTTGTTGTCATTATTGAAATAACCTGATATCACAGAGTATACCGATTGACCAACTGGATAGATGATTGGACTCTGAAACGTTCCATCTCCATTACCGAACAAGACACCGACGCTGTTCTCGCCATAATTGGCTACTGCGAGGTCCAGTTTGCTGTCATTGTTGAAATCACCTGATACTACAGAACGTGGAGAGCGACCAACCATATAGGTCAATGGAGTATGAAAGGTTCCATTGCTACTTCCAAGCAATACACTTACGGTGTTATCGTCGTAGTTAGTCACTGCCAGATCCAGCATGGTATCATTATTGAAATCACTCGATATCACAGAGGATGGTGATTGGCCGATAGGATAGGTCATTAGAGTCTCAAAGATTCCATCCCCATAACCAAGTAGCAAACTAAAGGTGCCATCGTTATAATTGGTAACTACCAAATCCAGTTTAGTATCATTATTGAAATCAACTAATAACACTGAGGATGGTGATTGACCAACTGGATAGTTCCTCCAGGTCCGAAACGTTCCGTTGCCATTTCCAAGCAGAACAGTAACACTGTTATCGCGATTGTTGACTACGATCAAATCTAATGTGTTATCATTGTCCAGATCACCTGTGACTATAGAGTGTGGTGTTTGACCAACCGTTTTGTACATTGAAGCTTGAAAGGTCCCATTCCCATTTCCAAGCAGCACACTAAGGGTATTGTCGTTGGAGTTAGTCACTACGATATCCAGTTTGCCATCATTATTGAAATCTCCTGCCACTGCAGAGTATGGCAATTGACCAACCTTACAGAGCCATGAAGTTTGAAAGCTTCCATTGCCATTACCGAGGAGCACACTGATGGTGTTATCATTCCAGTTAGCCACTGCTATATCTACGTCTGTGTCGTTGCTAAACTTGCCCAATGCTGCAAAAACTGGAAATTGTCCAGGTTTATATAATGTTGCTGATATAAATGGTGTTTGGCACACAGCTAATAAAACAAACAATACTGATAAGTATACCGGATACAAAGATTAACATTGAATTATTAATCTCCATGTCAATTTATGAAAATTACCCAATATATGTTTTTGTAGTTTATTCATCTCATAAGCTTTCTGTATTTTTTTTCTGTTTTGCTTTGCATGTATTAGATTATTTATCGAATAAAAGAGAAGCAAATGTGTCGCTTCATCATAAATACTAGAGATCTGATTTCCATTGACATCGTACTAGTGGAAGATGAACAAAATATGGAATGTACGTGTGTTTGCACATGTCGCGCATCCTCTAAATTCGTTCTTTTCTCTACTAGTTTCATTTCTATGACTGATATTATTTTGTATTCGTCTATTTTATTATTAAATTTATTCATATTACGAGGTAGATTTCTCTAAGATACACTTTTGAATGTTTCGTTTTCCAGAAAAATTCGTTTCAAAAATTGATTTGGGGAAGAAATGGTGATGTCTTTCATAGATTGAACTCAAAGTTCTAACCGACTAATTTGTTTATCTAATTTTATCAGTTTGAAGTCAATTTTTCGACTGAATTAATAAGCCGTTTCCTACTGCTTCTAATTAACTATAGCAGAAATTATTTAAATTTCTTTTCTAGAGTCTTCCTTAATTCACAAAGAATTTCACAGATTTACCGATCCATAAAAGTTATGTTGTTTTTTGTGAATTTATTATTCTCAAATTAGTCCAAGTCAAATATCATATATGGAAATGAAAGGATCAAAAAAAGAGAGAAGAATATTTTCAATGTACTGTTAAATAAGCCTATAACTGTATTTATTTCTTTGCTACAAATGGGAATATTGTTGCAAAGAATTTGACGGCAAAGAAAGAAAATACTAAGATGATATATTTATTATGATCTAGCAGTTGTAATATCTTTGAATATATATATCCAAAGAAAACGGTGAGTACGTGCAGAATGAACTATGACTTATCTATGAATTGAAATACATATTGAAAATCTTACTAGAGAGATTGTTGTTAGATTTTGTTCCCAAAATAGAGCCAAGAATGATTCCTCCGATGATCAAAATAATCAAAAAGCTTATTGGAATGACGAATTTCTTCTGCCGATACCAGTCACGCCTTCTCAATGTGATCAAAATTTCTATCAAAAGTACAGTTACGTGAATGATGAAATTAGACTTACTTAATCTTTGGATAAAGAAGTGCGCCTAAGTGTAAAAATATTCTTAATTTAAACTAATTGATTGAAAATGTTTAAAATACCTTCGAATGGTGGTTTCAGTAGTACTTTTTGTGGTATGACCTGTTTCAAGTGAATGATATGAAGATCAGGTGCCGGACTGAATTGTGATTGAACTATCATGTGAGTGCCAGGCAGAAGAAGAATTTCATCTTCAGTAACAAAATGTGAATGATCTCGTATTATTCGACCATTAATAGCTTCCACAGAGAATAATGTTCGACTGCCAGTATTACCCAAATACATGTTGTTCTCAAGTACAGTCAATTCAGTTGTGCATGATGAAAATGCCCACCAGGTCACTGATGTACCAGGTGGAAATTCTTCGCTCAAATTTTTAGTTACTCCTCGCCAAACGGTTAATGGCGGGACGCATGGTAATTTGACTAAAGCAGTTAAGAACAGTTTCAAATACTTAAAATAAGGTTGAAGATGTTCGCGATTCTCATTCTTGAGAGTGTAATTGAGCATTGAATAAAGACTTCTATGGGGGCTTTCCCATTCGATCGTATAGAGACGAATTGCAGCGCTCTCGTCGATCGTTAGCCCATCAGGCGGCTGTTCTGAGGTATCGTCAAGTACCATTTGAACGTAGAAAGATAAATTATAAAGGATGTTGGTGAGCGGTGAACATGCTTTGGACAGTGGTAATAGAGGCTCTTCGGCATATCCAACAATAGGAACTAGGTCTGCTTTAATATCATTCATAATCTCTGTAGTTAGTAAATTTTGTTCGTCAGTAATAGCTTTGAGAACTGGACAATTTTCTCTCATAGACTCGTTCGGTGCATTAGCTGAATCCTCGATTGCCACCATTACTTGTTTTTGATTAAGTGCTTGTTCACTATTTATGTTCGAACTTCTTGCATCCAACATATTCAATGAATCATTATTGTTCTCGACGTGTTCACTCCTCATATGCTGCCCATGATTCATCTCTTCGCCATCGAATGTGATTGCTGCTAGCTCGGTCTCAACGTCGAAATTATTACTCATTATTTGTTCAGTTTGAACGTCAACATCATTGCTAATTACTTCTTGCCCATCATTGATCTCTGCACCATTCAACATAATTGATCTTAGTTCAATGAGAATATGACCATCTTTCATCATCACTTTTTTCTTGTCATGACCTTCCATCATCTTCTGCTTTATAGATGAGTGTCAATGCTTAAGCCTAGAAAAAACTTACAGAAGTGGATTATTCATCAAAATCCGCTGTTATTGAGAAGAAAAAAAAAAGAAAAATTAGCAGGAAAACAGGAAACTTTGGTTCACTACTGCTTGAATACATGAGACATATTTGCACTGTTCTCAACAAATTCTCATTCTATAGGGCTGAAGCTTTCAGAGTAACTTAGGCAATCAAAGATGACCTGTTATACAAATATAAGTCCGAACTGATGATGTATAAGAAAGAAATCGAAACGAATACTGTGTTTCCTTACTTATGGGTCACCCTGTATGTACTATCGTAACCAAAACACACCATCCCACAACGAATCTTATGAAAACTCTCATATCATAATATTAACTAAAGTATGATCCAATAACATAGAAAGAACGAGCACTTCTTTCTCTATCATCCTATGTAAAAAGAAACTTTTATCAAGTTTGATATGTGGTATTAAAATGTCGTTGCCACTACTTTTGGATACCCCTATGTATCTACAGAAAGAGCGAGAAGACAAAATAAAAGCAATCATACTGGTCATTGATGAAATTGTACTCAAGATTACGAGGTCATAATCGACTATTTTGCAAAGAAAGTCTCTCTTTGATGCTAATATTACATCTAATTTTTAACCTTGTAGAATCAATGTGTAAACTTTTTTAGCAGAGTGTACAGCGCAGTACATTTTGTATTTTTGAGCAAAGAACAAATCAGAGTGTAAATCAAAAATAGCAGATGTTCTGTACATTTTGCTTATGCTGTATACACCTGCTGTCGGAAACACTGCGTGAGAGTGAGAACGCTGTGATTAATGTGATTAAACTGGACAAGTACCACCGTCTCTAATATCATAAAACACATGCTTCTCACATCCTTTTTTTTCGTGTCCATCGTTTTTACCTGCTTTTTTTGACTCATCTCTCTGATGTATATATTAATGTACTTTTTTTTAAATTCAGAACAGTCGAATTCTTTAATATATGATCAATTTTTCTAATTAACAATAATGAATCAATCTGTAAATGGCGGGTTTCTCTTTTGTTTCATAACATAACTACTGATGTCAATATCATGTATCTCTTGATCAAATAATGTTATTAGTGGTATAGAATAAAATTGTTACACCTGTTCAACTAACAACTATTAAACGAAATTCGTAAGTTATATGAATTATAGTTCGGATAGACCAATGATTACAATATAGGATTAAGAAATGAGTTGTATAATGCTAAAGTAATACCATTTACTGGAATTAAGATTCTCCTAAAGCTTACGATTTAACACACTTCTTACGAAATCATCTTAGAAATATTACGAATGAAAAATGGACTATTGAACACAAGTAAAAAAAAACTAGAATTTTTTAAAATATATTCTCACGAACGTTTGAGATGAAAAATAAACATTTGAGCTAGAGAATAGAATTTTTTCCTTTCAATTGATGAATTTATTTACGAACTATGGTTAGATTTAAATGCATTTTCATGAATCTTTGAGATAAAAAATAAACCTTTGACATAGAAAATAGGAAAAAGTATCTATTGTGATCATGGATTTATCTAACTTAATCATATAATTTACTTAAAAGAAAAATAAAGAAAAAAAAATGTATTTGTAAATAAATGTTTACAACGGCAGTAAATGCTGTAATCCAATAAAAATAGTGAAAAAAATTCGTTTGAAAAATTGATTGTTTTTTTTTTTATCTAAACATGCCTATAATATAAAATAAATAAAGTACCTGAAATGAGACACTCCCAAAACTTGTCTCACATTTTTAAAAAGAATTGTCAATGAAATGTCAATAAATCCCTAGTGGCTATTTTCTATAGCTTATGCGCCCCCGTCCTTTTCTGGACAAAGTCAGAAATGTCTATTTATTTTTACTTTCAGTTTCTCTTATGTCAGAATTACATTAGCAGTAATGCAAATTAAAAATAGATGGATAGTATTAGTATTGGTAATTTGGATCGCAAAAAAATTACTCATTATCTATATCTTTTAACAAGAAACTACCAACATCCATACTCAAAAATAAACAAATTATCATTATTAATATTGATTTGAAGTATGAATTTTGTTCATCATTTCAAGGATGTCAGTGTGTACTCAGTTTGGATTTGATTTATGCGTAAATTAACTTAGAAGTAAATTAAAATTTAAATGAATAAAAAATATTTGTTTTGTACTGTACATATAAAAATAAACATAACCTTTCATCATTTTTATACTTTTCACATAATATCTATCTCATAATTCATTATCTATATATATATACTTAGGGCATATCAAAAGTAGTGGCGCCAATATCTCAATTTCTTATAGACCACATGAGAAACTTTTCTTTTTTTTAATGAACACATAGAGCATCTTCCACTCTATTTTTCTAAACTATTTGATCACTATTCAATTGGTATCATAATAACAAGTAACGCGACGCAAACGTCGCTAACCCTCTACTGAAAGGAGCTATGTCATCATGCATACTCTGTGTGAATAAAGAGCTACAGACCAGAGATCACACATTCGTCAAGTTTCTTCGCCTCGCCCCGAGACGAGTGTATGTTGATTTCGAGACTCGCTGAGTCAACTCGTGTACTTAAAATGTAATTGTTAATGAGTAAATGGCAGATCATGAATGTTATTTCCTAATTTTAGTGTTCACTTCTTAGAGAATTTCTATTGGCAATGAAGTTAAAACTAGTCACAACAATAAATGAGTATAAATATATACGCAAATATCATTATCTATTTGGTCTGTCGAACAATTTAATTTAGTTTCCAAACAGACTGGCTCAATTCAAAGTGAATTAAGAAACATGATTGATGTTACCATGTAATGACGTCAACAACATTGATTAATTGACTTCAAATTAAGTCAGCCGGTTTGAAGCCTTACACAGTTTCGATTGACAATTTAAGTAATGTGACCTCTGTTATGTTAGCTAATAGAAATTTGTACGATACAAATTTTAATCTGATACGTACTATTGTTCGGCAAACTATTATTCTTCTTATAAAGATATTATCTATGTAATAGAAGAAACTTGTTCAGATTCTTGCAATGCTGATCATACATTATCAGATATTTCTCGAATGTCCTGTAGAAGGATATAAAATTGATTCCTGCGTAAAGATGGAAATTTAACAATAGTCAAAAATAGGAAGAAATATACGACACGTTGTCAGTCTCGGTTTGACTTTCCAGCTGTTACTGATAATTAAGGTGTTGCGGTGACAAAATAAAACAACCTTGTCTCATGTAAACGTCGCTATGTAAAATATTCTTACTATAATAATAGCATCTTGCATAAGAACAAGTACATTTGTGAATGTTCACCAATAAGATCTTTAAAACACTGTTACAATGTCCTCATCACCTTTCAAACAAAAATGCTTTTTTTCATCTGTAACCGTCCAGAATCGATTAAAGTAAGTGAAGAAAAAAGTAATAAAATAGAAAACCTTATTGTAGAACGGTTCTGTATGGATATGAGATCATACTCGACCGTCATTGATGAAGGAATTCGATCTTTCATTCGAGAATGTATTTCTTTGGGTATTGCACAACCTATCCTTAAAATATTCTTTTTTCATTCTTTCTTTACTCTATAGAGACAAAATATGGAAAATTCATGTCGATAACATACTCTTTGGTGCTAATACTATTTCGTCTTACGTCGACATATTAGCTAACTAATATAGATCTGAATTTCGACAAAAGCTCATTGAATCATTATCACAGCATTGTTCATTTGTATCTCATTTTGTACTTTTTATTTTTGCACTTATCTATATATATATATATATACGAAATCTACTGAACTTGATGAAAAGAACTAAACTAGATAGTGATTATTGTGATTGGTCGAAGAACTTCCTTAAGAAAACTCGTTTTTATATTAGACAGTAGATGAGACGAGGCGAGGCAGCAATAGATAGGTTGTCAATATGACAAGGCGGTAGCGAGTCGCAGTTTTGACTAGCTCGCCGATCTCTGCTATGGACCTAGTACTCTCACATATAGTTAAAGGAACAAAGATTAAAGGAACAATCAAAGGATATATGTGAACATGATAAATTTTCTAGAAAGACCAAAGAAGTGTAGATCACTCACAAAGAAAATTTCCATACATCAATCGGTGAGCTATTTGCAACCAGAATTAACAGAGTACTGACAATCACTAATAATTCGTATGGGCAAAGCAGCTAGCGTGGTTGATAAGAAACTTTCTTACTCTCATATTTCTGCTATATTTCAGCGAAATCTTTTTGGCTTTCTTTATAAATGTATGATTAAAAACTGTTGGAAGTAAAAGAGAACTGCTCTATATAGTTCAGCAAATATTTCGGCTGAAATATTGGATAAATCATGTCAACAATGAATTGGTCTTGATGTAAATTGTTTTTAACTTGATACTTCTCATGACTTGACAATAACAGTCGAGTCAAGTGAGGTCTCTGTTGCTAAGTAAACTTATCATGGTTCCGCATTTTATAAAGTATTTGCGTAATTCTATAGAGTTCATCCTGACGTTACATGTGTAATCTTTAGTTGGTCTTCAAATAGTATCATTTGATAGAAATTTTATGCTGATCATTTCGATTACAAAAACGTCTGCCATTGATCGTACAATTAGATAGAAATTCACAAAATACGAAAATACCCATTTTTGATTATTTTTCTTAATTTAAATGTAAT